GAAGTCATTGACTGGATTTTGTGGAAGTAAATTGTGAGTTACCCATTTATCTTACCATCACAAATGTACGTTTAGATAGACTCTGCTTTTGGCTCTGACATACCTAGGCTTTGCTAAAAAAAAAACAAACAAACAAACCAAAACATTGCTTCCATAATACAGGAAAAAACAAGAATGATAAAATCTAACTGTATTGTAAACAAGCTTTCTGTATGAAACTTGTGGTTTGTTCTCCATTTTGTTCGACTTGATCTTCCCTCCACAGTGGGGCTCTTTGGCAGCTCTGGTGATTTCACATCATGTTTGTGTATGTTCTGCCTGAGGGTGGAACCTCATTTTGTTCGTAATTTCAACACAAAGGATGGAATAAGTAAATATGAGTGTATGCAAAGTCCACACACACAGACACGCACACACACGTGCCTAGCAATAGGTATTTGCAAAGTCAGGCAACAGCAGATGGATCTGTGGCACTGTGAACATTCTCAGTGGGAACCTTTATAGGCTGTAGCATACCTTTTTCTGGTACACTGGTTTTCTGATGAGATTTCTGTAGTGGCTTTTGTTTGTTTATTTTTCATGATGTGTTATAACTAGGTGTTAACTACTGGGTGCCACATGAAATGTCTGTGTTGTGTCTTGAGAATGGAGAGGATTCATGGCTACAGGTCTAATTTCAGACAAAGCTGTACTCCCGCACAACAACCTAGGACATATTGTGGAGAACTAAGTGTGCCCATGTGTGCTCTGAATCACTGTGTAAAAGAAGCGTTTCTTAAAGTGAGCATTAGAGTTGTAGAATTCTCCCCAGGGTATTAAACCTTTGCTGCCATAGTACCTTTGGAGAAGAGATGATCATTAATGCTCTTCAGGATACAAATTCAACACAAAGCTATTTTTTATTATTTTCTGTTAACTTTTTTTTTCTCCTAAGATAGAGATTATGAAATCACACTGACTGATTTTTTTATGATGTAATACACACTTATTTTCCATCCAAGACAATAAAACATATTATAAGTGCCTTTTTAATGAAAGAGAAAGCAAGGCCTTCATGTCCTGCAACATCTGCTGGGAACATAATCTAAATTGAAAACGTATGTTGTACTTGTGAAGAGAGAGAAGTCTTCCAGTGACAGGAAGTGTCCAAAAAAAGTTAATGCCAAAATCAGTAAAAAATGCGTGACAGGAGGAGAATGAACACACAACCTTTTTTTTTTATTATTATTATTTTTATTTTTTTAGGGGGTGGAGATGGCCAAAGACAACAGAAGAATGGGGAAAGCTGGGAGGCAGGATTATCTGTGTATTGACAGAGCTGTTTATTTGCTCCTGGCAAAAATAAACTCTGCATATATAGGCATATATTCCCCCTAGCATTTTTGTATTTACAAAGATGGAAAGCCTGATCTGTCGCCAAGTCCCATTATCCCTTGACTTCAGTCAGACAGCATATCTCACTTATTGAATCAGAGAATGTTGTATGTTTTATGAGGACAGAAGGGAAAGGAGATGTTTACTGTTATTCCCTCCCTCTGCTTATTAGCACATACATCTACCTCAACATCAAAATGAGATATCTGGTGTTTTAGCCATAGCAAGGCTAGACAAATAACTCAATAACGTCCATTGAAAAACATTGGGATTGCCCCTTTCACTACCACCTGTGAAGGGGCTGGGAAGTTCTGTGATGCAGTGTACAGTGCTTCCAAAATGCTCCTGGTTTGGATACACGGAGTGGTTTATCTTCATGTTCCCAGGTGGGAAGAAAGCCCATTAGCTTGAATGTACCTGCACTAAATTCTGAAAACATTTCTTATGTGCGCTTTATGCCTTGCCTGAGCTCAAGCATCCTTAAGTACTTCCAGTCATCTCATAAATACACCTTTGTATTCTGCCTAATATATAAATACCATGACCCGTGTCTGAGAATGTTGGGAATTTTATTAGGTTCATAAAGTTTTAGTTGTGGTCAAGGCCAATGGCTCCAAAATAAATAAACACAGAGAGGAAAATGAGTAACAATTTCTTACCTATTTCTTTTCTTCCCCCTTGAGAGTTTCCCCAGGACTTGTGAAGTACTTGCTGCTGTGGTTTCTGTGGCTTGCTATCAAAGTATCTGCAAGCCATCAAGTGGGAGGCAGATGTAGAGGGAGAGATGAAAGCTGAGAAAAGTAACTGAAAGGCAGCTATTGGGACATTTCCACTGATCTCCTTTGTCTTTTCCTACCTTAAGGATGAGGAAATAACTGTAAATAACTTTGAATGATTTGTGGCAGTTACATTCCCGTGTAATGCTGCTTTTAACGAAGCTGCTTATTGGGGAAAGCTTCCCTAACCCTCTAGATGGAGTAAGTGACCAGCATGGCCAGATGGGAACATCTCAGAATGCAGCAAAATCTAACTCTGCTGTTGAAGTCTTCTATCTGGGGTTGCCTTTTCCATGGCTTTGGATAGAGAACCAGAGGTGCTCCTTCTGTAGCTTAGCACTTGCTTTGCCTACAGGATTCACCACTGGTGGCTAACGTAAAAGCAAGAGTATAGAAAAAAAGCCAACAGCAACATTAACTTCTTCAACAAAGCAACATGTGAACGCAGTTTGAGCTTCAGGAGATGGTGCTCCTTTGGCATTTTGGGCACTTATCTTCCTCAGCAGAGCCACCATGCTAAGGACATACATGGTACATAGGACAGAAGCTGTTTTTGCTTTCCTTGTGGAAAGATGCTGAGTCATCATGAGATGAATTCAAGTACCAAGAAGCCAGCATGCCCCTTAAAACAATTCTATAGTTAGCTGCAAAGCTTCTGCTGCATCTGGGTTAGGAAGTAAGAGGCAATATCTTATTGTTCAAGAATTTTTAGACTCATTAAAAAAAAAACTCAGCTGCAATTACAAGCCAAGTAAGACCATGCTGACTTTTCTATAATTTTCTCAACTCACAGCTGCACATCTACCAGTTAGAGCTGGTTGGAATATTTCCAGTGAATCAAAATTTTTTTGGAAACCTCCCCATGGATTACAAGGTTTCTAGGGCTCTTAGAAAATCTTGGATTTGACAGCCTTCAACAAGCTCAAAGGTGAATTCCTGGGAGCACGCAAGCAGCTGCCTGGCCTTTAGCCCCTGGGTGATGCATCTACATGGTTGCACAGAGATGCTTCCATTTAGGCTGAAGAACGGGAAGCCCACTCAGTGGAAAACTTCTGGAAAAGAATGGGTTGTGCAGGACCTGCTACAGACTAGTTCCAAGAGAGGAATAGATGGCCCTGGATCTCAGGTGGAGGTAGGAGCCTTCCTTCAATAGAGTTGATGTTTGCTGGACCTCATAGCGGACATTGGCTTCTTAGACACCTGGCTCCCTATGGGCACTGCAAGAGGAAGCCAAACTCCAAGGCCAGAACTGTGCGAGCAGCACCCAAAGCACTGCCAGATGTGATGCCTTTGGTTTTGGAGACTGTGCTGCTCACAGCCTTTTGTATCTTCCATCCTTTTTTACCCTTTCATTTTTTTTCAATGCAAGTGCAAAAGCCCAAAATGACTAACATTCCTTCCAAGGCAATGACCACAAAACAGAGAATCAAAGCCACAGAAATGCTTTCTTTTAAAAATTACTCACATTTCATCAAGCTTTGCTTATACAAAGGTGACAAGTCCAAACCCACTGATAGTTCAGCTATGTGGCCTGAGAAATGCAACAGCACTAACAAAGCTGCTCTCAGATGTACAGAAACACTTTTTTTTCTTATTAAAATACCACTTTGCAACTCCAATCCTCAGCTGTCAGCATCCCTTCACAATGGCCCTTCTACCCATCCTGCTGTAAATTAGGCACACGTTGCGAAGCTCCTCACAGTTATGTGAGCTAAATATTCACCCCAGAGTGGCTCTGAAATGTGGTGAGCTCTTCCTTTTCCACAAACCTAACTGAATCGACCGTGCAAGTCACTTTTTTCTTTCATTAGTAACACTGTATTTCATTTCATTTCAGCAACAGTTGTAGGCAGCTTCCCAACACTTACTCTTAAAAAGGGACAACAGTGCAAAGAGAGGATGTCCCCAGAGGCAGATCGTGTCCTGCCCCAGCAGCTCACACATGCAGGACAGATTTTTTGAGCACAACAGCCAGTTGGGAACAGGACTGCCCCTCTTTATCTTGCAATTATTTGGAAACTCCGCTTCCACTGTTGAGAAACTATTTCTGTGTTTGAGCATTGGTACTTACAGAGAGTTTTTGCATGGATGAGTGTATAAACAGTCACAAGTGTGACACACTCAGAGGTGCAATGCATGTGTGTACCCCATGGGGTAATACGGTTTGAATAGCAAATGGTTTCTTTCATCCTGTCCTGTCTGCAGCTGAGCAGTTTCTGGCTGGCAGAGGGACCTGAGCAGAAAGTGAGCAGGGTCTGGCAGGCAGTTTGCTGTTCTGCTTTTGATAGTTTAGAAAAGAATAATCTCAGTAGGCCAGTATAAAGCTCAAAGCTCAGCAGTTAGGTTCTTACTCAGTATCTGTATCTTCAGAGTATCTTCTTATTGAAGTAGATGACATTTTAGAGCATACAACTTGTGTGACAGCTGGCAAAGGTAGCACTGAGGCTATTGGCAATGGCTGCAGAGCTCCAACAAGAATGACAGCCTCAAAACCCAGAAAGTACTCAAAATTCTCTACAGAAGTCGGAGTCACCACAGTGTGTGTGATGCTGGATCTGTCCTGTGGGAATTATGAACAAAGCTGGTGTGCAGCAGGTTGCCCAGCATCCAGAAGTAGAGCCTTCCCATGGTTTGGACACTGTGGTATGGTAGTGATAATGTTGTGAGGGCTTCAACCAGTGATTGAGCACCTGGTGAGAAGGCAGAGACAACCCAGGGGAGCTCAGGGGCATGCAGTGCACCTGAGTGACTGGAAGGGGGGGGGGAGGGGGGGGTTCTGGTTCCACCCCTTCCCAGACCTCATTTAAAGATTGGCAGTACAGGTGAAAGTAGTTTGCTGGAGATCCCTGTGTACCAGAGGAAAAAAAAATTAAAAAAATCTTCCCTTTGTTTCTGTGCCCACAGCTGTTGCATTTGAGCAAATCCTTGTTTGCAGGAGCTTGGGACTGTGCTACTTTGCTGTCATTGCTGTGATTTCTGTCATATTACAGGTACCAACTCCACTATTGGCTGGCTGTACCTATTTCCTCATCCTTCTCCCCAGCACACAGGAAATCTTGGAGACTTGTTCTGAAAGAGATGTTTTTTCTTTGTGCAGGTGGTGTCTTTATAAAGCAACAGCTTAACAGAGTAAATGCCTTCAGTGGCATTCTTTTCTAAATGCTGTGAAAAATCTAAGCTGAGCTGTGAATACAGAGCAGTTTAGATGACAGTATGTTTTTCCCATGTGATACTCTTTTTTTTTTTTTCAGCTGTTAGGAGAAGTAGTTCTAATGTACTGAAGAATGTTTCTTCGGTATGTGCAAGGAACTAAGGGTTTAAATGTTTAAAGCATCAGACCAAAATTCAGGGGTAAAGATTTGGCTGCTCTCTTCTCTACAGACTTCCTCTGTGCCTTAGTGCTCTACTCATGCAACAAGGAAGCAGCATCCATAGGTATGTAGAGGTAAGCATACTTTAGGCTGAATTTAAAGTTCTTGTGAAGCATGCACTTGAATTTGTAACAGTCCCAATGATAAAACCTGTCCAAATAGCACACGCATTATAAATATGGCATTTTTTAGAGGTAGAAATGTTGTCCTGTAGGCAAAACAGATTCCATCAATGACTCTCCTGTCACTACCTCAATGGTGCACCACAGCAACATTGAACAGCAAGCAGAGGTGCGCTTTATCATGGAAAAAATATCAGAATCTTTTCATCTGTGCTATATTTATATATTTTTTTTATTTAGTGATTATATTATTAAATCATGGTAATAAAAATATTATTGTAATGGAAGTTTGGAGGTCGTCTAGTCCAAACCCAGGCTGAAATCAAAGCTGACTTTAAAATGGTAAGGTTTGAACATATTCAGAGTGGGGAATCTGCAGCCTCTCTACGTAAGTCATTCTGGTGCTCAGCTATCCCCATGAGAAGAATCTTTTCCCTTCCTTCTTATAAGAGAGAGAATCACAGAATGGCCAGGGTTGGAAGGGACCTCAAGGATCATGAATCTCTAACCCCCCTGCCACATGCAGGGCCACCAACCTCCATATTTAGTACTGGACAGGCAGATAAGATGAGACCTATTTCCTGATTGCCAGCAAAGCCTACATGTTAGACACCTCATTCTTCAGGATTTTTAAAATACAGATATCTGTGCACTTTTGTGGAGATGGGCCTTTTCTTTCTGGAGCTTGGCATTTTCTCGCATTGAGCAATTGCTGACAAAGGCTGGGACAGAGTCTGCTAATTTTTCAAAATTTTGTGAGCAGAGCTGAATATGTTAAGTATCACAGAATGATCTGGGTTGAAAAGGACCACAGTGATCACCTAGCTTCAACCCCCTGCTGTGTGCAGGTCACCAACCAGCAGCCCAGGCTGCCCAGAGCCACATCCAGCCTGGCTTTGAATGCCTGCAGGGATGGGGCATCCACAGCCTCCATGGATCACCTCCCTCTCCTGCTGGCCGCCCCTTTTTCATGCAGCCCACAACACAGCTGGCCTTCCGGGCTGCAGGCACACACTGCTGCCTCATGGCCAGCTTCTCGTCCACCAGGACCCCAAGTCCTTCTGCGCAGGGCTGCTTTCAAGGAGATCTGCCCCCAGTCTGTATCAATACCTGGGATTGCCCCGACCCAATGCAGCACCCTGCACTTGGCCTCGTTGAACCTCATTAGGTTCACATGGCCACTTCTCCATCCTGCCCAGGTCCCTCTGGATGCTTCCCTTCCCTCCGATGCATCGACTGCACCGCTCAGCTTGGTGCCATCTGCAAACTTGCTGAGGCTGCACTCGATGCCATCATCTGTCATTGATGAAGATGTTGAAGAGCACCGGTCCCAGGACCAACCCCTGAAGGATGTGCCTTAATAAATAAAAAGCTTCTAGGAGGATCTACTCCTTGATCTTCCCAGGCACAAGATGAGGCTCACTGACCTGTAGTTCCCCAGGTGATTCTTAATCCCTTTCTTAAAAATGGGGCAATGCTTCCCTTTTTCCCATCACTGGGGACTTCAGCGGACAGCCATTATTTTTCAAATATGATGGAGAGTGCAGTAGCCAATAAGCATAATCTTTTATCTTGTTTCAAGTAAGAACAAATAGGCATGATCATATCCAGCTGCCTTCTATCAATTAAGATACTTCATGTTATTGGTGAATATTGTGAAGGAGCTCCATGATCATGCTTCTTACAACTGATATCACTCTTCTTACAGTTCTCATGAGCTTTTCTAGGAGAACCTGTATGATGTGGTTAAAGGATGGTCAGAGATAAAGGAAATTTTTTTTTATTCTAAAGGGAACAACATACAGAATCACTTTAAAGTCTAAAGTGCAAGTTTATTTTATCTTAAATACCAAGTAATTCTGATAATTTGTTGATAAACAGCATCAATTCCAATTTCTGTGGACATCATTCATTAGCGAGTTTTTGAATGTTACTGCGTGAGGCAAAGTACGATTTCTTGTGTCATTTTCATTGGCTTTCAATCACAAGTTGTGAGGGCATTACTTTCTAGTCATTATTTTTGCTACATATAAAATTATCAGATATTTTGGCACTTGATATATGATCTTCTGAAAGCAGTTGAGCTTTTAGACAGCTGGGTTGTTTGGGGCCGAAGGAGGTAGTATAGCAGAGAATATGATTTGGGGAAAAGTCTATGAGAGAAATGGTCTACACACGATGATGGCAAGATACTGGCACAAAAATTATATATTATGGGTAGCTATATGAAATACCAGATGTGGAGAAGTGGAATGCCAAAAAAAACCAACAAGATGTCCGGAGGATGCCTTTGGCATGTCAACATTAATGATTAGGCAAGACACTATGAGAAAGGAGACTTTTTTTTTTTTTTTTCCAGGAGTAGAAAAAACAGGGGTGTAGTTGTTAAAAGCAAGAATTCCAGGAGAGGAAAGGGGAAAGGGAGGGGGAGGGGATGGGAGGTGAAGAAGATGTACTAGGTGATTCTGGAAAAGCTAAATATTTGAGTTAGGATTTTCCAGTTCAGATGTCATTGTGTTACAGATTCTATCCCAACCAAGAGAATTCTGAATAAATTGAAAGTCTGCCAGTGCTATTAAGGTAACGGAGGACCTGATGTGCCCAATAGAAGGGTGAGGCAGGTATCTCAGACATCAGCAGGAAGTTGTAGTAGCTCTTGTATTTTACAGGCAGCTACATATAGACATAGAATAAGCAGGATGGTCTTCTTCCAGCAGCAAATCTCTAGAAGGACATCTTGGTTTATTCATAATTCTCCCTAATGAAGTTCCACAGAGATATTTTTGTGGAGATAACATTGGCCTTGCTGCATTCTGGAATGCTGCTTCTATTTGGAATTAGAGTCCAGTTATTATTGAGTATGTTTCTAATGTTTTTAAGCCAGTCACTCTTCCCACACTCTAATATTGCAGCCCAACATTTTTGGTTTTAGCCAGTCAGATGTGTTATAATTATGAATCTGACATTTAAGACTTGCAGACCTCTCTCATGAAACATTAATTTTCCCAAGCATTTGCCAATGTTCATGCAGCTTCCATGTTTGTGAGGTATCTAAACAGGGTGCTATTAACTACCAGGGCTGCGCCAGTCACAATACTGTTTGATGCCTGCAAATTGTACCTAATTAAGACCTAAGTAGTCACAAGTCCCTGGCATATGATCCAAGTCTTCCCTATTTATCAGGGATACAAGTAGTTTGTGGTCAGTCAGAAGTCTGAATGACTCTCTGGAAGAGTTTTTAATACATTTTTTTACATTATTCATTTACAAAGGGACACTTCACAGTCTGCAGAATGATTTATACCACCAGCAAATGACTGGGAGCAGTACGTTGCAGTGATTCAGCGATAGACAGCATGGTTATGGGCAGCGAGCATGGGTGTGCTTCAGATGGGGCTTCTGTTCTGTTGAGAATATATTCTTGTATTATTTTCAAACATCAGGTACTTTTATTTTCCAAGAGCTCATTCCAAGGATATATTACTGCCATCCATAACCCAGCGTCAATTTCACTTTGACAGAGATTCAAGATTTTGCATTAATTTATTACTTTCTTATGCCAATTTACCTTTCCTCACTGTGCCCCTATGCCTGGATTTTTATGCACGTTGTTTCAATACTTCATCTCCTTTTGATGTATCCTGATGTTTATTGCCTTTTAGATCTGAGTACCAAGTGTCTCTAGAAATCTAGACAGGCTTTTATCGTGCTTCTTTTCTTACTGGCAATTTCCCAGGACTTTGTCTATACAAGCAACTATTCCTTTTCAGGTGCTGCAGAACTCTTGTCATTTCCTTTGGAATATATTGGGTGCAGAAGTGATGCCAAAAGGAAGTCTGAGGAAAGATCACCATCCAAAAGCATAATAAAAGTAGTTAACTTGGCGCCATCTGGGTGTGGAACAATCTGCTAAAAACCATTTGTGGCATCTAAAAGGGGGGAAAACTCGGGCATTCATCTTGGAAAGATGTTGTCCCCTGTGGATGGGACAGTGCTTCTCTCAAGCACTTTGATTAGTTGTTTTAGGTCAAAGTATATGCTGACTCATCCATTTTTGCTAAGGCCTTATTACTGCTGGTAAACACTGTTCAGCGGGTTTGGCTGTTTCTTCTGTAATGCTGACAACACTTGGACTGTATGCTCCTGCTCTTTCCCTAGGAAGCAGAGAGCTGAACTTACTGTGACTCTCTAGGCATTGTCAGTAAATGCACTGCAATGTGCATTCAGGAGATGAGCTTAATGGCCCTGTTTCTTCCACTGCCCATTTATTGCTGTCTTTTGGTTGATACAGGAATGCCATTGCTGTATTTTACTGGCAGTTAATTTCTCAACTCCTGGGATAAAACTCAGTGCCCCAAGTGCCCTCTGACATTGCAGGTTACTACAGCTCTTACTGGCCCTTATGCTCCTATAAGTAGGAACGGCTCAGTCCCTCATTACTTGCTTTTAATCTGTTATTTCCTATGTCTCATTTCCAAATGCTATCACTGTGCCTTCTCTCTTGTTTCTCATTAGTGTTCAGGCACAGAAGACTGCTTTCTACCTACTTGTCTTGCTCTGATCTCTGGAAGTCTGAGAGCTTTTACAGCACAAACTACTTTCCTTCATTCTTGCTGTAACAGGTATCATCAGCGCTGGTCTCAAGCCTCTTCTGACTGTAGCTCTCATGTGTCCTTGTGTATGTACTTCCAGTAGATGCCTATCCCACCATAGCTTAAAACAAGGGTGTGTGGGCTCACAGGGAATTTATGTGGTGGAGGATGCTGTGCTAGTTGCACAAGTTTGGGCATGAGTGCAGCTGGGACTGTGGCTCAAGAGCACTACAGTCTGATAAAGGGACATGATGAGAGTGATGCTGGCTGTGACTTTTTAGTACTGTCAGATGATAGCTAACCAGGAGACAAGGTTCTCAAAAACACACACATCTTCCTACCATCTTCCCTTGCAAGGAACTCATGTTGGAAACAAAGAAACAAACAAACAAAAGAAACCCCAACACTGTGAAATGTCTCCCACTTCCCCCTTTCTATTCCTGCCCATTAGCTCCCTATCGGCTTTTTTTTGTTGCTGGCATGGGGCAACATCTGTAGCCAAATCACTTGCTCTGTGTACATGCAAAGGCTGCCCATCTTTGTTGCAGATGATCAGGTGAGAACATCTGAACAACTGCAATAAGAGAAGAGCTATGATTGGGAAATTTATCCTGCACAGGTGGGTGATTAGTTGTCAGTGTGCACGCTTCCAGCTGAAGACATCTCAGCCAAAAGCTAAGGGCTTTCACAGCCAAACTGTGGGACTTTCAAAAGTGAGAGCTGATAGTGCTTTCCCTGAGCAAGGGACGTGGTTTTCAGAAATCATCACTTCAAAATGATGATTTTAAAAGCATCTAAAATTGAAAACTGTTTTTGAAAGTTTTAGCTTAAACTTCTGCTGCTATACAAAAGGCTTAACAAACTCATTTGAACCTTGGAACTGAAATTTTCTTGTATCTCCAAGTCACAGATTCACATCCTGCATACTTTCTTCATATACCTCTGTTAAGTACTTTCAGCTGGACTTAAGGAGAGCAGGACTTGATCACAGTTATGCATGTATATGTTCCTATCCACAATCAAGAATTACGTGGGCCAGTGTATGCTAATACTCTACTTCTGCCTGGGGAGCATGCAAACTGAGATGCTCTGTTTTTAGAATACAGAGGGAGAAATGTAAATTCACTGTAGTCAAGTAGAAAATGTAAGCACAAGAAGCAAAGGAATTTCCGCTTTGGAGTAATACACATAGGAATATGAAACAAAGGGAACCTAGAAAATTTTAGCTAACGAACAATGAGATGTTTTTGTTTTCCCTCCTTCCTTCCCTCTTTTCTTCCCCCCTTCCTTCCCTCCTTCCTTCTTCATGAGAAACAGGAAAAAGGAAAAGATCTTAGTGACCCCATTCCATTCCTGGAACTCATGCCTCCCATACATCACAGGGCTCTGTACGCCACAGTAAGAAATTCTGAGGGCAGTGTGCTGTAAGTAATTTAATAATTTAGTAATTTATAGAGACACCAATTATTCCTTTCTATAGGAATTAACAAACAATTAAAATTGCAATTGAATTGAAAAGAAAGGAATGAACTTCTCTATCCTCCTTCTCGTTTTTCCTTTCTTCCTTTCTTCCCTCCTTCATTTTTTTTTTCCTCTCTGCCTTTTTCCTGTCTTCCTTCTGTCTTTCTATTTTCCAGTCTTCTGTCTTACCTTCATTCCCATTTATGAAGGAAAGTCACATCACTTATACCATCGGCTGAATCCATGCACATGGAGTGAGAGCTCAGTGTTCAGATGGTGTATGGAAACTTGATAAATGATGAAATTTAATCAACTGCCTGAATCCTCCACAACACATGGATGTTAGGCATGCAGAC